TAGTTAATTTATTATGTGGCAACCAACATGTTAAATACTTAGTTTCAATGAAAACTTATAAGTATAACTTAAAACTGTATTATTTAGAAACATAACAAAATTTCTTAGGAAACAAAGATAAAAAAAAAAAATATTTCACTGTGTATGTTTATTTTTGTCAAGTCTACCTATATTACTCATTTTGCATTTTATTCTTAGCATTGAAGGAGAGTGCATTTAATTTTTTTCCTATCTTATGCTTTTGATGCTCTTGTATTTTTGATACTTATTTTCATTCTTTAGTGTCACACAAATGGATAGCTTACAGATGTATGATAGTTAGATGCAGTGATGTAATCTTAACAAAAAATGTTTCACTAAAACTTGTTATAAGACTTTCACAGTCATCAAATACAGATTGATTTATTAGTTATAAGCTTGCTTCTTATCCACTGAGACAAATATTTTGCATGAGATTCTAGTGATTAGAACAAGTTATGACATTTTTCTAACAGGTGGAAGTCAAACCATATGTTCTAGACGATCAAATGTGTGATGAATGCCAAGGAGCTCGATGTGGAGGAAAATTTGCCCCCTTTTTCTGTGCTAATGTCACCTGCCTCCAGTACTATTGTGAACACTGCTGGGCCACGATCCACTCTCGTCAAGGACGCGAATTTCACAAGCCACTGGTGAAGGAAGGGGCTGATCGGCCTCGGCCAGTACCATTTCGCTGGTGTTAGAGTGACAGAGGATCTCTGCATATGTTTCTGAGTAGCGATTTCCATGCCACTTCCCTAATCTTTCTGAAACACCAGCTTTTTTTAGGCATTTCTAGGTGTGGCTTGTGGTGTGGTAGCACAGCCACTTAAGTTTTACTGTTCTTTATGTGTTTGTTCCTTCACCACTCTGGAAATTAAATATGTGGCTGTAGACATATTTTCAGAAGTTCGTAATATATATATATCATAAAATTTACATTTAATATACATATATAAATATATATATCTATATTTTTTTCTTTTTTTGATAGTTAAGTGAGGGTGGGAAAAGTCATATTGCTTGCTTCTCTGTACTCATTGCTGCTAATGAGACGAGAAACAGAATATACCAGTTGAAGTTTTTACTTCCTGGAATTTTTAGACAGAAAGTAACATAAAACAATGTTTTTATTTTGTCCCATTATTATATTATTATCTAGGAAATCTGTTTATAGAATATCTAGACCATCAATTTGACTTTCATGTTGTGATAACTTGTTTGTAATTTATCTACCTGAGGGGGTTCTCCCAGGATCCTGAATGTTTACTGCTTCAATAACTTACTCAACCTAGTCAGCACGTGCTCCTCTGACAAGGGTTAGAATTGGAAGTCCCTAGTCCTGGAGTAGTGCATTTTTAATGTGATTTCAAAATGTTAGTTGTTGCCTTATATATTTTAGCTTAAAACATTGTACTACCTTATGGTAAAACACTGTACTACCTTATGGTAAAACACTGTACTACCTTACGGTAAAACACTGTACTACCTTACGGTAAAACACTGTACTACCTTATGGTAAAACACTGTACTACCTTACGGTAAAACACTGTACTACCTTACGGTAAAACACTGTACTACCTTATGGTAGCTTGGTCATTGGACAACGCTCATTCAGTCAGTCCTCAGTGTACCTTCCCGTTTTGATTCTCCCTCACGTGAGCAATAAATCCAGGCCTTAACTTTTAGAAGACCTTTTGGCCTCCATCCTACTTTTCTTACTAGGCCTTTTTAAAAAAAATTAAGTTCAAAGCTGGACTTTCCGCACCAGCATTTTTACAGTCATTGTTTGTAGACTATGATTCATTCTCAGATAACACTTTAAATTAATCAGGTAGCAAGAGTTGTACCTGTTATTCAGACTCAATTGAAAGGTGTTGTGGCTTTTACCTGTCTTCTAATAATCCCAGGTCATTCTTACAGGCTTTTCTTCACATCTGGATTTGTGCAAAGAGCATAATGAACATGCATGCAAGTGCAGTTCATGTTGATGTGTTGCTTATTCAGCATGGGAAGACAGTGTTCCTTGACATATATCTATGGGTGGAGCCATGCATAAGACTTGTTAGTACAATAACCTCCACAATTAAGTAGAAGTAAGTATAGTTCAGATAAATCTTCTGCACCCTTTATATTACCTCATAAATTTTTAATTGTTTTTTTTTTAGTAAAAAGTTTTGAAGAACTACTAAATATGTATAGTTCAAATGATAAACAATTTTCAACATCCAAGTAAAATATATACTAGAGAATATGACTAAAAACAGGTCAACTTTACTTTCTATGATTGCTCAGAAACTGGAGTTATTCTGTAGAGAAAATACCAATTTTTGAAAATTAATAGTCCAGTACAATCTGTTGTTTTTTCCTCAGGAAGGTACTTTGTTTCTTGTACAGATATTACAGATTTTCTTATCCTCACAAGATACCTCAGTCTCCTAGCAAACAATGAACTTGTACAGAATTGCAGAAAAACTTCCAAAGTGATTGACTGAGAGGAAAGAGAGCAGATTTATTGATAGGATATGTGCAATTAGCCTAACTGTGATGGAAAGTATGACTGCTCTTCTGTGGGGAATATAAACGTACATTCAGGTGTTATGCTGGATGTTTCTGTATGGTTAGGAGTGTGTATGTGTGCTTCTGTCTGTATGTATGTGTGTCTAGGTGGTAGCATTCAAGCATTTTTGCAGTGTTTAATCACATAGGTACTTCAAGTAAAGCTGTGTAATAAAGTCGGCTCTTTTAAGGTTAGCTTGTCTACATCTTAAAAACAAAGATTTAGATGAAAACTATGTCTAGTTATTTCTTAAGTCAGTGTACCTCTTATCTAGTCCTTTTGAAATTTTTGAGCATTAATTTTAGAACTGTTGTTGTTTGTAGCTGTTCAGCCATACAAAGTTAATTAATAAACACCAAAAAGTGTCTGAATTAGTGTTGGATAAAGTTCAGTATTACTTGTGGAGCACTTGCTTGTTCGGTGTCTGATTATCTCTCTTTTTTTTTTTAAGCATCTGTCTTGTTGAATGTGACTTTCAGTTCAGAGTAATTCATCTAAGTTTCTGTTACTGCTACACCTAAGAAAAAGGTATTGTCCTACAAAAGGACGTTATTTTATAGCCACAGGGGACAATCACATCTACCTAGCAACATGGAGAAAGCTGCACTAGTGAACTCTAATTTTGGGAGCTTCCACTGGAATGCTTCAAAGTCTGTGTTTGATGTTCTCTTTCCAGTGACTTTTTTTTAACATTTTTGTTATGACTGCTTTCTTTTCTTATATTCCATGGTACAACATTTGAAATGTTGAAGTCAGGTACTCTGTTGTCATTTTTTGGTTTTCTATATAAAAAAAAAATCTCACCTTTAGACTGACTTTCTGAAGTAAGAGAGTTTTTATCTATTGTGTATCTCCTATTTTTCCAGTTCAGGTGTTATACTTGATCCTACAAAGTCTTTCTAAGTGTCTGCGATATGCCAGGGTTTTCAAATGGCTAATCTAGTTTTTATTCTAAGTACAATAACAGGGGCCCATCTTGAAAAGTATCCAGATCTTCTCAGGTTAAGAAATAAATGTGAGAAAGAAAAAAAGATAATATGCAGATTAATGCAAAATGATGGGTGGTAATAATGATAGATTAAAGATCAGAATTGAAAACCTGGTCTACTTATTTACCAGAGATTTTACAAAGCACCATGGTTTGGATGTAGTTATAATTACAGAAAAAGGATCTGTAAAAACTGAAATTTAGTACAAAAAAAACCAAAGAAAACAAAAACCCATTAAACCTAGGTAATGGTTGAACATATCACAGTAGGTTATATTGTTCACTCAGGTTGAAGTATGCTTGTTAGGTACTTAAACATGTTCTGTATGTGATCCCAGTATAAGTAAGCTGTTTATAGCATACCTTAAGACTCTCAGTGGTTGGTGCCAAACACCCTTAATGGACATGTTCACGGGTGTGTCAAGGTACTATCATTTGTTTTTGTTTAGTTATAGTATTGATTTTTTTATTTATTAATAATTATTTATTTTTGTTGTATGTAATGAATTTAGTCCTTGGTATATTTCACTAGTGAAGCTACAACTTGGTGTCACCAATTTTTGGGTTCTGCACTGGCAAAGTTGGAGTTGACACATGTGTGAATAAATGTTGTATAAATAAATGTTTCCCAAAATATACAGAAACATTTTATATTGTATTATTGATTTAAAACTTCTCGTGAAATTGTTTCTTATGAATGTGTAAAAGTTCTTTTATTTTAACATTCTAATATATTTTCCCCAAGAGATGATGCTTTTTAAAAAACTTTTTTATTATAATAGAACCTACACATAAATAAATATATCTTTTAATAACCTTTGTAATTAATGTTACATTTTCTCAAGATTTATAATGTTCACTATTTTGTATTTTTCTGATTGCTGTAGTGTTTCTGATGGAATCTTTTGACAATTTAGTGTTATAGCACCATACAGTATATAGCAGACTTTATTTTTCTTATGGTGCTATGTGTACAATTAATATGACATTTTATTGCACCTGTAGCTTCTTATGAAGCACTAGTCAGGTTACATGTGATTACTCACTATAAAGATATGTACATGTAATCCCATTTGAAACCATAATACACAACATTACTGTGCAATATCAACTTATTCGTGTATCTATAGAGAATTTGGTTTTGAGCAAGTGAAATGGTGGTGGTATATAAGATGTTTGTAGTGGATGACCACCTTTTACAAGTATTCGATTACTTAATCTATTATGTGAACAAAATTCAATCACGTCCTAGAAATTTGATATTTTACTCCACTTTTCACGAATAGGCTACAGGTGTATTTATATTCTGTATTCTCTTGTTACAAGATTTTTTTAAGTCTGTGTCTGTCCTTTTGTATTTACTATTAACCATAAGAAATTGGAACAATTTCAACAATGACATCACCGAGTTCCATACAAAAGTTTCTTTGAGAGGGTTGGGAGAATAAAAACATCGTATGGATAGCAAGAAAAAAAAATCCCCTTACTTTCTGACAGTATGGAAGATTTTAAAATGACAGACCATTCTCCAAAAGCCAAAAGTGTTTCAAGAATACCATGCAAGAGCCTTCTAAGTTTTTTTCCAGTGTAAAAGAATGTTAATCTGGACAAAACTGAGAAACTTATGAGCAGGAAATGTTGATAAAAAATGTATTTAGTCATTGGCATTGAAATTTTCTTAACCTCTTAGTTCTGTTAAAACATATTATTACTGTTTAAAAAAAATGCTTTTTAAAAACTATATTAAGGTTTAGTTTTATTATTCAGCATAATTTCATATTTCAATGTATTGTCTGTGTTAAACATCTGAATTTTGTATTGGTATTTTGAGTTATGGAAAGTTTATTTTTGTAAAGTTTTTTAATAGTAATTTTCTACAGCTGTTCATTTTATAGACTAAAATATTAATAGCATGATTGGTTGACAAGAAGATTGTTTGATATAACTGATAATTGTTTAATGACTGGCTATGCAAGCTGTGCTTAGTCAATTTTGTGTTGATTTCGTAACTCTCTTGTGTTTGGGGTTTTTAAAGACTTTTTATAGGGGTTTTAGTGGCTTGAGAAAAAGCTAAAAGGGATGTTTTCAAAAAAAAATTAATTTTTTACCAGACAGCTTTTTTTGTCAAACCTGAAAACAGGCATTTACAGCACGACACTTCAAAGCTTATTTTCATGGTCAACTATTTTTATGGGGTTTTAAAATTATTTTTTTGCAGAGAAATTGGGGTGTTGCATTTACATGATTTTCTGAAGTTGTTAATAGCAAGTGCTCCAACTTGTACCTCACAGTTTGTGTGGGAATGGACAAGATCTTAAATCTTTCCTGCTGTAAACAAGTTGAGCTGTAGAAATCGTAAGAGATGTGACCTGATTTTGGGGTAACCATTGTTATTAGCACAGAGTTTCTACTACGTTTTTAAATAAAATACTATTTCATATTCCTTTTGTTTAATACAATTTTGACATGCATGATGACGTTTTGTATACTATTTGTTCAATTAATTTATTTTGATCTGAATTTTTTGGTAATACAATATTTCTGCATGTTTTGAACAATGGTTTGTACCTGTAGTGTTTAAGACCACTAGATTCCTTGTCCTATGGAATCTTTGTGTATGGTAATTTATTGTAGTTTCATTAAAAGCAAAGCAAAAACTCATCTGCTCCGTCATTATTGAAATGATGAATCACAATACAACCCAGTATCCTTAAGTTTTTTTTACTATTAGAGCAAAAGTTACAAGATCAAATGTAAGTTGAATATCTAGATTAGTGGGAACTTCCAACTAGGGAAGAATACACGCAGTATCCTTAAGTTTTTTTTACTATTAGAGCAAAAGTTACAAGATCAAACGTAAGTTGAATATCTAGATTAGTGGGAACTTCCAACTAGGGAAGAATACTCCATGCTACGAGTTTCTCACTTTGCATGATAACTAGAAATCAAAAATTTGAGGACTTCACACTCATTACCACTTTGAATTATAAATAAACCATTTAATGTTTTAAATTTTTTGTATCATTCATCAGGATTTCCCAAGGGAATGAGCAAAATCTATGTCAACTGGATCTCGTAAAACATCCTTTAAATGTGTGTTCACATACCTATTATGTTTTAGTGCTGACTTGTGTGAGTCCCGAAAATTTACTAAATTCATAACAAAAGTACTGATTCTTCCTTTATTTTCTGAACTAAAATATTACAACTTTGAAACTTAAAACTACACTTTTCACAGTATGGCTGCGAGTTCAAATACACTGGTTTTGGTCATTTCTACCAACAAATGTAATTGGGTAATTTCTTCATAAAAGCAGTATTCCACTTATTACTACATGCACAAAAAAAATCAACTAGAGAAATCCTAAAAACCAAGTTTCAATACTTTCCCCAACCAAGAAACTGGTGTAAAGTCAACCACAGAAAAATATGAACTGGAACTAATAACATAAATTAAAGAGATAATTCTGAATATTAAGATCAATGAAGAAAACTCTCAGCTTTCAAAATACTGTCATAAAATGTTAACAACTTGGAAAACAAAACCTTCAAAAGAACTTTACCAAAAATCCACACTGATTGAGAAACTTGGGAAACAAGTAACCTTTGATCTCTCGTGCTTCATTGTAATTTTTTTTTTTTCAGTTATTTGCATATTTCATAATTAATTTTTCTTATCAAGTCTAGAAGAGGGTTTTAAAATAGTAGACTGTAGCTTACTGCCATGTGATAATCTCATTTGTACACCAAATGGCATGGCAAAAGTTATACTTTTTTTTTTTTACAGAAGCCAACTATTACCTTATTAATGTAATAATTAGCGAAGTTACTTTTAATTATAAATCAAAGACAAAAATTTTTCACAAGTCATAAAAAAAAGTTTGCAGATATTTTCTGTTTTTTTTTTTATTTTTCAATAAGTCAATGAAATCAAAGTTAGTATAAAACTTCTACTTTTTACTATAGATCAGATATTTTAAAACACCATACCATCAATATACCATTCTTTTTAAATTACTATTTTGTAGATTTTCTACTATTTATAATCAATTAATAAATTATCTGGGACTACATTACAAGGTACTGAATTAATAATAATGATAATTTACTAGAAATATGTTTGATAACCAACATATTACAGAAGTTAAAGAAAAATCATCTCAATTATGATCTAATCACTTCACCTTACATCTACAGACTTGGTATACTACTAATGTTTCATTATCTTATACAAAGTGAACGTCAGCCACGTTGTTGTTTTCTTAGTGAAATGATACACAATAGGGGTATCTGCACGTGATTTTAGCATGGTAAACTTACTGACTCACTAGGTGACTATTAATCATATATAAAGTAGGTAGTAGATAATTATTCATAAATATATTGCATCCAAGATCCATCTACTAATACAGGTAAATGATACAGAAAACTTTCCTTTGCTTTACTGCTGTCATATGTAATTACCTTTCCATCATTTAAACAAAACTCAAAATTTATTTATTAATAATTTGTCAACATAAATACATAAAAATGAACACATTCATATAACAGTCATCAGTACAAAATATTTGTCACAAGTCTCTTGATCCAATTTAAATATAATGCATTAATCTTTGTTTACCTTTATAATTATTTTTGAGATCCAAAGCCAAAAAACATAATACTTTTTCTCACATCAGGCATGCTTCGAAGCTTAAATGTTACTAATTCTAATTTTTCAAAATTCTTTTTACGAAAAGTTCATCTTCCTTTTAAGAAAGAATCCTTGGGAAATAACTTATTAAATTATGCAAAAAACATAACAGTGCATTTTCTTAAAATAGCTCCCTTTCACACTTTTTTTTTCAAGAATCTTCGAAATCCGAGCACTTTTCTGTCTCCTAACTTCTCAGTGACCAAGATGAGATGTTAAACTCAAGTCTCAATGTAGTCACATAGAGCTGTGTCTCTTGTAGTGGTATATAAGTATATATATATATATAATTAACATCTAAAAAAAGTTGCTGAAAATATTTTTTGTTTCTTTAACTGAAACACAAAAAAAAATAAAAACTCTTGAAGTTATTTCTCATTTGGCTCTTTTGAAATCCATGAAAATTCTTACTTACATAAAAGACAGACAATTAAAATTGTAAAAACCAAACATGGAGTAATTATCTTAACATTTACATTCTTTGATTTGTGCTTTGCAATGACAAATTTAATCCTATTTTTGCTCTAGCTAAAAGTTACAGATCTGTTCATAGAACTTTCTAAATGATATTTCATAGTTTTACTATTAATGCACAACATAATAATAGAAATAATAAAATTTAATTAGGAGACACAAAGAGAAATTCATGACTTTAACCTACAATCAGAGTAAAAGCTACAATTCACCAGAATAATGAAGAAGACTCAGTTCTAACTTTTCTTTAGTTAGTGTTTGCCAATACAGAGTATTTTTAATGAAGTTTATTTTTTTTTAAATGTTGCATATACAAAACTAAAATGAAAAACAATAAAGGTCTCTTCAATATTTCTTCTTATATGCAAGAAACACCGTATTTCTATAATCTCCTGAATTTACCTTGTGTCGAGCCTGTGGTTCAAAATGTTTTTAAGATATTAAAAATATAAAATTACAAAAAATATCCAAGAATTTGTATAACTCAGCAAAGAATTTTATTATATTTTTTCTGATAGAAAAACTAAAAATAAACACTTATAATATCACAAACAATAATCCTCCATTGATACTCTTAACATAAATGTCCTTCTTGAAATATTAATTGTTTAAAAAAGAAACAAATAAACTTCTTAAATACCATCCAGTTTAATGATCACACAGAATATTTGAGTAAAACACTAGAACATAAGCTACAAATATTACAGAATGCAATTTTCAAACAATTTCCATATTAAACTTAGTTTTCCACCTCATGCACTGAGGTTTAAGTGTTTTCTAGTTTTGATTAACATTTAACGTCGAAGAAAATATCGAATAATAGCTAAAAACCAGTCAGGAAATATACGACACTCACATGAAACACTGAGTTCCAGTCAGGTAACAGTAAAATACATTAGTTATACATAAAATTACTAGTTTACTTTTATCAAATAGAAATTTCAAGTGGTACATAGGCTTGAAAATATGTCTACAATTTAGAAAGAGTACAAATAATTCAATTTTAGCCTAGCCTAATTGTCAGAGATATTACTAATGATCACCTGCAGTGTTTCAACTGCTTTTTTTTTGGAATGAAAGGTAAACAACTAAAATCATAAATAATATTCAACGTTAAACTGTTACACAGTTAAAAACATTTTATTTAGGCCTATCCATGGCCTTCAAAAAGTTGACAACTCTACATGTATCGACGTTACAACGTCATCCTCAGGAAACATGTAGAGTCGTCAACTTTTTGAAGGCCATAGATAGGCCTAAATAAAAT